ATGCCTGATACCTGATCCCTTCAACACCTCATGATCTCACAGGCTGGTGTGCTTCTTCCTTTAATCAAACTACTCCATTCTATGTTCCTGGTTCCAGCCAAGTGGAAGGACTAGCTGTTTCCCCTCCTGAAGCATCCACCCCTCTTTCTCTGTGGAACTCTCTAGGCATTTGACCTTCCCCTGTTGCTGCGTGGCAGTAGCCCTAGTGGTGTCGTGGTTAGGTGTTGGGCTGTTAACCTCAAGGTGAGCAGCTTAAAACTACCAGCCGCTCCTCAGGAGAACGATGGCACTTTTTACTCCAGTGAAGAGTTACAGGCTCAGAAACCCACGGGGGCAGTTCTACTCTGTCCTTTAAAGTCTCTATGTGTCAGAAATAACTTGATGGCAGTGAGTTTGGAATGTTAGGTCCCGCATCCAGCGAGGCAGGGTCAGTGTCCTCTGGCTGACAGGAAGGTGGGGCCTGAAACTGAGCTGTGAAGGGGACACCTGGGGGGGGGCAGGGAAGCGCTGGAAAGACAGTGCAGTTAGACAAATGCGATGGGGATGGGGTCTGCGGTAAGAGACAATGATAACACTATATCACACCCCCACTCCATCCCAGTAACCCCAGGAAGATGACATTGGAAAGTGTATTTCTGGGAAACAGAGAGCATTCTCAAGAACAAGCCAGGCCAAACCCCAGATTAGGCCTGGCAAGGACTCCTGGTCAAAGAGAAGCTATCCTGAGAACATGACAAGAACCAACCATGAGCGGTAGAGGCCAATGAGCAGACCTAGAGTCCTGAGGACAGTGGTTCTCAGCCTTCCTAATGCTGAGACCCTTTAATACAGTTCCTCATGTTGTGGTGACCCCCCAACCATAACATTATTTTCATTGGTACTTCATCACTGTCATTTTGCTACTGTTATGAATTGGACGACCCCTGTGAAAGTGTCCTTCGACCCCCAAAGGGGTCATGACCCACATGCTGAGAACTGCTGCTCTAGGAGGAGTCAAAGATTCCCAGCAAGCTTCAAGAACAGGAGCTCGGGCATGGTGACCAACTCAGAATCCCTGAGAAAAGAATGAAGGCCCATGTCACAATCCAGGCATCCGGAAAAGGAAATGGAGGCTTCTCTCCAGGCTTCCAGGGACTGGAGTGTGTGAAGTGATTGTAGCCTCAGTGCCATTCATCCTGGAATCTGGATCAGAGTTGATTTTCTAGGTGGGGACAAGACCTCCCATATTCCTTTCTCCCTTCCAATTGTTTCTGCTGTTGGTCTGCCAGCTTCTGGGTCCACTGAGAGCTCCTGAGGCCTTTGGTTCATGGCTCTTGTTAGTGTGCCTATCGGCCTGACCTCAGACATTGAAGCATGGCTAGTCCTGAGTAGCAGAGAGAGGAAAGAGAGAGGCGTGGGTCTCTGGTGTGAATAAGAACCAGCCTGTGTGATCACGAGGTGTCGATGGGATCAGGGACCAGGCATCTAAGACCCAGAACAAAATCATACCCAAGGTATGAGTGGAGACCCAATGCCCATCTGTAGACAATTGGACATCACCCTACAGAGGGGTCATAGGGAAGAAATGAGCCTGCCAGGATGCAGTGTAGCACCGATGAAACACACAACTTTCCTCTAGTTCTTTAGCGCTTCCTTCCCCCCAATATCATGACCTCAATTCTACCTTGCAAATCGGATTAGAACAAAATATGCACACTGCTACAGACAAGAGCCCGCAACACAGGAAATCCAGGATAGATAACACACACCCCCAGGGCCAACAATGAGAGTAGAGATACCAGGAGGATTAGAAGTGAGTGGGGGGAGAAAAGGGGAATCGACCATAAGGATCAACCTATAACCCCCTCTGAGGGGGACGAACAATGGAAAAATGGGTGAGGGGTGAAGGAGGATGATGTAAGATATGAAAATAATAAGCTATAACTTATCAAGAGTTCATGAGGGAGGGGGAAGAAATGGGGAGCTGATATTGGGGGCTCAAGTGGGAAGAGAATGCTTTGAAAATGATCATGGCAGCATATATGCAAATGTGCTTGACACACTAGATGAATGTATGGATTGTGATAAGTGTTGTAAGAGCCCCCAATAAAAGTATTTAATAACATTTTTAAGTAAAAAAAAAGAAGGGGGTGCTGTATGGTTGCTGGCGGATTTAGGAAACCTCATTCTCAACCTCAAGGAGCTAATCAACTTTCACTTTCACCAGGCAAGCCTGAGAGCTGCAAAACTGCAGACATGAAACCCTTTTCGGCAAAGCTGGCAGAATGAAGCATTGTGGGTGGAGGTCCCCTGGGTAGCTATTTGGTCAAAGTGAAAATGTAGATTAAACTGGGGAAATATATATATCAGTGTGAATACAGACACACATATACACATATCAGACACACATACAGAGGAGACATACACATATACACATATACAAACCCATACAGAAGTCATACATGCATGTATACATGTACAAAGGAACTTCAAAAGGTTCATGGAAAAATTTCGTTATCCTTTAGGGGGAGGTGGGGCGTGGGAGATAGGAGATCTGTGCTTTTGGTGGGCATAGATCAGGCAGGGCATCAACGCAAGTCCCGCCATTTGTTCAAGGGGCCCCACTTGAGGATGTATGTGACTCCACAACTATTTGGGATGAGATGCTTCTCAACCACCAGAGCTTCAAATTCATGAGCATTAAATCGTAAAAGCCCCACTTTTTGCAAGTATGGCTCTTCTGGCGCCCAGGGAACTTGAACTTGGTCCTACAGAGGACCTTGACCTCATGTACCTTGTTTGGAAGTTGGTACAGATGGGCATGATGGCTTGACCTATGACATAGGTCCTATGTGGACCCAAGTGAGGTAGTTAGTTTATTGTGCCAACCTGGCCAATAAACACATGTGGGGTTAATTGAAGGGCAGAGGGATAAATGGCTCCGTGAGCCTCGCCTTTCCAGTTCTCAGGTCTCCTGCTTTCTGATGATCAGACCAGGGTGCAGCTGCCTTAGCCAGTTCCCTGCTTTAGCTTGCAAGGCTCACTTCCTGTAAGACATCCTTGAGGAGAAGCCACATGGACCTACCCCAATGCAGCCCGGAGTGCTGGAGCAGCTGTGTGGAGACCCCTGCCAGAGCTGAGATGCTTATACATTCACTGACTGGGCTTTCCTCCTGCAGTCAGCATCATTGCATGTTTTGTGAGATGGAGGAGGACTTTGTGGATTGGTGTTGGACATATGGGTTAATGGGTTAATGTTGGACTTATGGGCTTGGGCAGCACTGGGTTGGGATGTTTTCTTGATGCGCACTTAACCGTTATATAAAACTCTCTCTTATACATGAGTTTCTGTGGATTTATTCCTCTAATGTACCCAGACTAACACACCAAGTCACATACCAAAGGCACCTCACATCCCCATCTAGAGCCCAGATTAGGGACCATAGAGATTAGTGAGGTCAGATATATGAAAGAGTTGCTTCCAAAGTCACCAAGGGCAACCTAGACTTGCCAACAGGTTTCATAGCCTACCGAGAAGGCTGCTGTTTGCAGCCATTGCCCACTGACACGCACACCCCTCAATATGAGGATGATCAACCGAATTGACCGCCAGAAAAAAATCTTCAAACCAAACCCACTGCCATCAGGTCGATTCTGTTGCATGGTGACCATCAGGTTTATCTGAAGCTATAAGTTTTCACAGGCAAAAACAGCCTCATCTTTCTCCCATGGAATCACTGGTGCTTTTGAACCACAACTCAGCACTTACCTGGCAACACCATCAATCAGTTCGAACATAAATACATATGGACAAAAGGCCCCAAACTCACTGTTATTGAATCAATTTCACTGTAACAAGTTCTGAGTAATGACCTCAAGGTCATTTGCTCTATCTTACCAGTGGTTCCACAGCAGAAAAACAAGGCCATTTGCTCCCCTAAAAACTACAGCCTTGAAAACCCAATATAGTATCTCTGAGTCAGAATGGAGCCCTGGTGGTGAAGTGGTTACACGTTGGGTTGTGCATGGTCACCAGTTGAAAACCACCAGTGGCTCCGCGGGAGAAAGACTGGGCTTTCTACTCCTGTAAGCAGTTATAGTCTTGGCAACCCACATGGGGTTACTATGAGTCAGCACTGGCTCCAGGGCAGTGAGTGAAATGAGTCAGAATCAGAATTGACTCAATGGCAATGGGTGGAAGATATAGCTAGCTAGCTAGCTAGCTAGATGCTACGGTTCCAAAGTTGGGTTTTCGGTATAAATATAAAAACCTACTAATGACATAAATTGGTGGTGGTGGTAGGTGCCATAGAGTTAATTCTGACGCATAGCAACCTCATGTCCAACAGCAGGAAACACTGCCTGGCTCCGCACTTACTCTCCCAATTTGTGCTCTATTTGAGCCCAGTGCTGCACCCACTGTTTCAGTTCATCTCATTGAGAGCCTTTCCCTTTTTCAGTAACCTATTTTACCAAGTGTCATCTCTTCTATGATTTATTTCATGTTTTAGCTACTCTATGATTAAGAGCAAGTTTCAGAATCTTTTCTGACAGCTAAGCTAATCATTTCTTTCTTTCCTGCCTTTTAAAAGAACTTTTGGTTTTCTCATGTACAATGGCCTTGATGTTTTCCCACAGCTCGTCATGTCTTCTTTCATTAGTGGTCAATGTGTCAAATCTGTTCTTGAGGCATTCTCTAAATTTAAGTGGTTTAGATTCAAGGGGATATTTTGACTCTTGTGTATTTGCTTTAATTTTCTTCCACTTCAACCTGAACTTACATATGAGCAATTGGGGATCTTTTCTACAGCCAGCCCCTGGCCTGCTTTTAGTTACAAATATTGAGCTTCTCTGTCATCTCTTCCCACAGATGTAGATCATTTGATTTCTGTGTATTCCTCCTATGTAAGTCCATGTGTATGGTCCCCTTTTGTGTTGTTGCAAAAAAAAATAGGTGTTTGCTATGAACAAGTCATTGGTCTTAAAAAATTATGTCAGAGAATACCACATAGATGTTTACTTGTGTTTTATTGACTAGGCTAAGCCATTCGACTATGTGTACCATGACAAACTATGATACCCTTGAGAAGAATGGGAATCCCAGAACAGTACATTGTGCTCATATGCAACCTCTATATGGATCAAGAGGCAGTGTAGAACAGAACAAGGGAATGCATAGTTTAAAATCAGGAAAGATGTGTGTCAGGGTTGCATCCTCTTACCATACTCATTCAATCAATCTGTGTGCTGAGCAAATCATCAGAGACGATGGCTTATCTGAAGAAGAATGTGGCATCAGGATTGGAGGAAGGCTTATTAGCACCTTGAAATGTGCAGATGACACAGCCTTGCTTGCTGAACGTGAGGAGGACTTGAAGCCCTTGCTGATGAAGATCAAAGATTACAGCTTCCAATACGGATTGTAACTCAATGTAAAGAAGACCAAAATCCACACAACTGGACCAATAGATCACATCATGTAAAAGGAGAAAAGATTGACATTGTCAAGGATTTCGGTTTACTTCCATCTACAAGCAATGCTCATGGAAGCAGCAGTCAACAGATCAAAGGATACCTTGCGTTGGGCAAATCTTCTGCATGAGACATCTTTTTTCAATCGCCTCATATGCATGTGAAATGTGGACATTGAATCAGGAAGACAAGTTCCCGAAGAAGAAAACCATGCGTGGCAAAGTAGTGGTGCAGCTAAAAGGAAGACAGTCTTTAACAAGATTCATTGGCACAGCGGCTGCCTCAGCGGACTCAAGCATATGGACGGCTGTGAGGATGACACAGGAACAGGCACTTGACAAGAATGCCACTGAACCAAGTATCATGTCCTTCCCCAGGGGCTGGTTCCTCCTGAGGATATGTCCAAAGGATGTGAGAGGAGCTCTCACCATCCTTGCTTCTACGGAACCTTTTGGCTGTACATAAATTAAGAATAGTTACAGGAATTCTATAAGGATCATTTGCCTCCTAAAAGGATTTGTTGTAAGTCATTCAAACAAAACCAAACAAAAAGATTCAATGAGACATCAGAGTGGGAACTGACTCCACAACAATGGGTCAAGACACTTGAAATGGACTTCGGGCTCTCTGAGCAGCACCGGGGATGTTGGCAAGAACAAGTTAGGAGTGAAGTAGAAAGCGGTTGATTCATTTTCTAGGAAAGATGGGTGTGATGTGAAAGTCCCTACTATGCTTACTATAAGAAATTATGGAAAAACACTAATCACCGGACTCCAAGAATCAAAATTGCATCTGATTGCCTCAAGCGACTTGTTTTTAAGTGATCCTTGCTGACCTGCAGAACCATGAAGTTACATTTAGAAAATTCAAGTTAATTGCTTAGTATGTTCAGGGCAAAAAGCTGCCGGACCAACTTCCATGGCATGGATCTTACTTGGGACTCAATGTGCTTCATGGTCAAAAAATGGCAGACCATGATTGAAATTCAAGTGATGTCAAGTCTCCCAATGGCTCGCTGCTTCATCTGCCTGTGTTGGTTTCACTAAAACACTCAACAATCTGATTCAGAAGACCGTTTATGCTCAGCACCAACAGGTTCACCAAATGAGAAAGAAACTGATGGAAATCATGACCCGAGAGCTGCAGACAAAATGACTTGAAAGAAGTGCTCAATAAATTAATTCCAGACAATACTGGGAAAGAGATAGAAAAGACTTACCAATCTATTTACCTCTTCAAGACATGTTTATTAGAACAGTAAGACTGATGAAGAAGCCATAGTTTGAATTGGGAAAACTCGTGGAGCTTCTTGGTGAATGAAGGTGGTCATGTGGGGGAATGCTGATGGACACAAGACAGGTGCTACAGTGAAAATCAGACTTTCAATGGTGAAAAATGAAAGATTTTATTTGTGAGGGAAAAGAAGACATTTGAAAATGATTCTATTCCACTAGCCAAAATAATAATAATAATTTTGTGCAGTTTTTAAGAAACATAGCCACAATTTCAAGGGAGTGCATGCTTTATCGCTTTCCCACTTGTTTCCATTATAAAATAGTAATACTTACAACCCTTCTTGAATGGACTGCAGGAGCAGAAATTTGAATTCATCATAACCCTTGGTTCATGCCTACTATTAGCTTTGGTCAATTCATGATCCTGCTCATATTAGAAATACCTGTGGCACAACAATATACAGGCTACCTCAGCATGGTATATCGATAGATGGGTGGTAGTTGCTTTCCCTTTATATCATCTATAGTCAGACCTAAGGAGCTAACCACGAGGTCAGCGGTTCGAAACCACCAGCTGCTCCTTGGGAGAAAGATGAGGTTTTCTACTCCTATAACAAGTTACAGGTTTAATGGGATCCTGATTTCCTATGTAAATTCTCACTAAAATATTATCCATCTATCTCTCTATTTATCTATCATCTATCTATAGCTATCTGTCTACAGCTATCTATCTATCTATCTATCTATCATCTATCTATGTTTTTTTAAGAGTTACAGTTTTGGGGGAGGGGAAAAAAGAGTTATGGTTTCAGAAACTCACAGGAATAGTTCTACCCTGCTTACAGGGTCGCTATGAGTTACAATGTATTTGATGGTGTGAGTTTGGGTTTTGTTTTGTCCGTTTTTCTTTTTAGTATATTCAGACCTGAAAGCTCATTTAAAATTTTAGTTGTTTTTAACTTTTAAAAAGAATAACAATCTTTATGGAATCTCTGCAGACCAAGTTTTTTCACTTAATACAGTATTTCTAAGACTTATCTTTATTGGTATGTTGCTGTTGTGTACTCATTTTGACCAGATAAATATTCTACTTTTGGATATACTACAGTTGGTGAATCTATTCTTCTGTCAGTGGGTATTTGGGTAGTTTTCAGGGTTTTTCTACTTGGGGAAAATGCTAGTATGAGCACATGTAAATGTTCCATAGGATACGTATGTAAGTTTCTCAGGTAAGAGGGGGTTGGTATTTAGAATTATTAGATAATGAGTATGTGAATGTTCAACTTCGTGATATGAAGTAAATCTATTTTCTAAGGTGTTATATAAACTCACACTGTTAACAATTGTTCGCAGAAAGACGAGGTTATCTATTTTTGTAAAGATTTACACAGTCTAGGAAACCCACAGGGGCATTCTACTCGGTTCTGAATTGGAATCAATTCAATGTCAGTAGAATGACACGTGTAAAATATACTGCTGAACTATAACTTTTAAGACTTGGTCTTGTTAACCTATAGTTTTGCCCATTCATGTGTGTAAAGTAGCATCTCTTTGTGGGCTGGATTTGAAGTTCTCGGATCATGAATGACACTGGACATCTTCACATGTTCATTGGCCATCTGTGTTTTCTCTTCTGTAAAATGTCTTTTTGTGTCTTTTGTCCATTTTCCTATTTGGTTGCTTGGCTATTCTTTGTTCTTTTCTTATTAATGTATAGGAGTTTTGTTTTTAATATATCATAGTTGTGTGAATAACACAGATCTTCTCCCCAATTTGTAATTTGGGAAGGGGCTCTTTTCTGGGCTCACAGGTCTGACTCAGTGCCATTTAACTGTCCCAATTATCATAGTTGTTTTTTAAAAAAATAACTTTGGCAGTTTGGGGTCCTTTCCCGTTCATGTAAAT